CAAACTCTAGAACACTGTTCAATTGTGCCCAATGTATGTTCAAAATGTTTAGAGAGAAAAACAGATAAAACCCTTCAAAGAAAGCCTGTTATAAGAATTTCTAGGGATCAGCAGTTAGCATAATGGCTATATTGCTGAACTCCCATGTAGCCAACCGCAGTTCGAGTCCTGGACCCGGTGACTTAAACTCACGCCGGGCACATGTGTATGCATGTCCAAGATCCCGAGAGGAGAATGGAGAAGGGATTGCGGCGTGGCCATCCCCCATGGTGGGGGATTTCTCCCTTTCTATCTGTCTCTCTCTGTCTTTCTGGCAAGCACACTCGCCCTATAGCAAAAACCTCTCAAAAAAAAAAAGAATTTCTATGGGTCAGCAAGTGGTGTGGTGGTTAAGGTACTAGATTCCACATGGCCAACTTCAAGTCTAGGACCTGGCAGCTTGAGAATCATGCTGGGGTGCCAGGAGGTGGCATGATGGTTGGGGTGCTGGACTCCCACACGGCCGACCACGGTTCAAGTCCCAGACCTGGTGGCTTCTTTCTCACTTTCTCGCTCTGTCCCTCTCTGGTCAAATTAAAAACGGATAAATAAAGTTAAATAAAAATGAAATTTTAAACTAAAAGGATATGATTGAAAAAAAGAAAGAAAGAAAATCATGCTGGGTGTGTGTGCATGCCCGAAGTCCTGAGAGGCAAGAAAAGGAGAAGGGATTGAGGCATAGTCATCCTCCTTGGGGAATGATTCCTCACTTTCCTTTTCTCCACGTCTCTGTCTCTCTCCAGTTAGTGTACACATGCTATGGCAAAAAAATCTATAAAGAAAAAGGTAATTTCTGTCAGGGCCAGCACTATAGCCCTGTAGCCTAGTGGTGAAGGGAGTTGGATCCCAGATGGCCAACCCTGGCTCAAATCCCAGCCCCAGCAGTTTGAAAAACATGGGCACGTGTGTATGCGCCATACAATTCACTGAGGACTCAGACAGAATAAAAAGGCAGAAGGGCAACTTACTCTCTTCTGGAACTGGGACAGTCGTGAAAAAGTTAGCGGGGGAACTCTCTTATTTTTGCCAGACGGTGCTCACAGGAGAGAGAGACAGAGAAAGTGAGAAATCACCCTCCAGGAAGCCACGGTTCAAGTCCCAGACCTGGTGGCTTCTTTCTCACTTTCTCGCTCTGTCCCTCTCTGGTCAAATTAAAAACGGATAAATAAAGTTAAATAAAAATGAAATTTTAAACTAAAAGGATATGATTGAAAAAAAGAAAGAAAGAAAATCATGCTGGGTGTGTGTGCATGCCCGAAGTCCTGAGAGGCAAGAAAAGGAGAAGGGATTGAGGCATAGTCATCCTCCTTGGGGAATGATTCCTCACTTTCCTTTTCTCCACGTCTCTGTCTCTCTCCAGTTAGTGTACACATGCTATGGCAAAAAAATCTATAAAGAAAAAGGTAATTTCTGTCAGGGCCAGCACTATAGCCCTGTAGCCTAGTGGTGAAGGGAGTTGGATCCCAGATGGCCAACCCTGGCTCAAATCCCAGCCCCAGCAGTTTGAAAAACATGGGCACGTGTGTATGCGCCATACAATTCACTGAGGACTCAGACAGAATAAAAAGGCAGAAGGGCAACTTACTCTCTTCTGGAACTGGGACAGTCGTGAAAAAGTTAGCGGGGGAACTCTCTTATTTTTGCCAGACGGTGCTCACAGGAGAGAGAGACAGAGAAAGTGAGAAATCACCCTCCAGGAAGGGTGGCCATGCCACAATCTCTCCTCTTCCATCTCTTCCCCCTTCTGGGATTTTGGGCAGTGTGCCCACGTGCCCAGTGTTTCTCAAGCTGGAAGGTCCAGGACTTAGAACAGCACCATCGGCCACACAAGCGCCGTCCGTCTTCACCACCACGCCACTGACTGGCCCAAGAACCAGATTTTCAAAACCATTTTGTACGAGTGTAGAGAAAGGTCTGTAAGAACAAAACTCAACTATTAGAAGTAGTATCCTTTGAGGTGAAAAATAAAGAATGAAAGAAAATGTTCACTTTTTCTTTATGTATTTCTGAACTATTTCGATTCATTGCAGTGAGTATTACTTCTGTAATCAGAAACACTAGTGTGGAAAAACGTTAATGTTTTCAACCAAATTTTTAATGATAAGGGAAAATACAGTAACAAAAAAAAATTAGAGCATGAAATCATGTATACAGTATGATCTCAGCTACAGAAAAATGCATTTACAATCCAGGAAGGAAATATATTAGAATGTTAATAGGCACTGCCTCTGGGTGGCAGGATTATAGGGGTTGTGTATGTTTCCTGCTTTTACTTTCCTGTACTTTCTAAATGTGCCATATTGTTTTTATAATTAGGAAAAGAAAATTAAGCTGGTCTGCCCAAGGTGCCTGGCAGCTGTCTAACGAGCGGCCGAGGCCAGCGAAGAGCTTCTCTTTCAGGTCGTTCTGCTCATGCAGGGTGGTGTGAGGGCCAAAAGTTCCTAGTCGCAAGGGGACATGTGACTTTCTGAAGAGACTGAAAGAGGAAAAAGAGATACCAAAGAAAGAGAGTTCCCTGAGCCCGGAGGATGGGGCCAGAACCAGGTCGGAAGGTGATAGCAGCAGCCCCCAGGGAGAGTCTCCAGTCCTGAAGCGTCAGTGATGGGCTTTCTGGGGAGTTGGGGGTCACTGTGCCTTTAATAGTGTCCACATTTATGCTGGGACAATTTGTTTTGCATGCTATAATGATATATAGTGATTGAATGTATAAAAAATAATAATGATACTTTAAAAACATAAATAAAATTATATAATTCTTTAAAAAAGTTTACAGGGACCAGCAGATGGCACAATGATTACATTGCTGGGCTCCCACATATTCGACTGTGGTTCAAATCCTGGACTCGGTGACTTAAAACTCACGTCGGGCGTGTGAGCGTGCATGCCCAAAGTCCTGAGAGGAGAATGGAAGAGAAGAGATTGCAGTGTGACCATCTCCCCTGGGGAGTGATTTCTCCTTTTCTGTCTCTCTGTCCTTCCCTGTTTCTCCAGTGAGAGCACATGCCCTGTAGCAATCTCTCTTTAAAAATAAAAAGTTTGTAGAAAAATGAATTAAAAGCCTGAGTCTATTTTTAAAAAAAAAATCCCGCATTCTACAGCTGAGTGACTATGCCCAGAGAGCGGCAGAGGGTGCTGGCGGTACTCCAGGAAGGTGGGAGGGAAGCAGGCACTGAGCCACACTACGGGAGTGACTGCTGTCCAGAGGGTCTTGGGTGGTCCCCAGAGACTGTCTGCAGTGCTGCTGTGACACAGTGCAGAGATCGGGGTCACGATGATGGTGATGTTGGGTCATCTACTTTTCTTTTTCTTATGTTTCTTTAATTATTATGAGAGAGGAGAGAGAGAGAGAAGCACTCTCAACAGGCTTCCTGTGACGATCTTCCCTCCAGCGCTCCCGGTCAGCCAGGATCAAGGACATGGGTGTGCACACCTGTGTGGCCTGGTCACCAGGAGCTACCCCATGAGGCTCCAGCATGGCAGAGCAGTGTGCTGCCACTGTGCCACCGTGGCTGGCCCCTGCTTTTCCTTGATATAACAACCAAACAATAATCCAGGGCAGAGTATCTTCGAGGCCATTTTGCCAGCGCATACTGGACACTTTGGAAATTATCCCTTTATTGAGGGATGGTGGTTCAGGCAGTTAAGATACCACATGCCAACTGCACAGTTGGAGTCCCAGATCCAGTGGCTTGAAAAACATGCCAGGTGTGTGTGTGCCCAGAATCCACAGAGGAGAAGGGAAGAGAGAACGTGGCATGGCCATCTCTCCTTGAGGGTGCTTTCTCACTTTCCTACTCGCTCTCTCTCTCTCTCATTGTCTCTCTGGCAAGTACACACGCCCTATGGCAAAAATTTTAAAAAGAAAAATAATTTTTTAATTTCTTTATTCAGCCATCTTTCATTTGGAAGACTTTTCTCAACCCTCTCCTGTACCTCCCCTAACAACAGAGCAGTCCCTCTTTC